GGGACAAGGCCGTTTACCTTAATTTGCTGATGACTTTGTCACGATACAGCCCATTTTGAGAGTCCCACGCGGCGCAGAAATGCTGTTTACTGCGGTAACGCCAGTTTATACTTAAACTCCACGTGTAGACTGCAGCCTTGTTCACTTGTACTTTTCACCTATTGTGCTGCTCTGTCTATACTTTCCGTTTCACCTCTTCCCCCACTGCGTATCAATGCAGTTGGCTGGGCACTTAGCACACTGCATGCGTTATGAGCCATACATTCTCTGATTTCGCACACTTGTACGTTCTCTGTTAGTACTACTCAGTAGTGGGGCACGGCGGCGAGTTTGTGGTTAGCGGTCGGTGGACTTTGCACTTTGGCAGCAACTGCAGACATAACAAGACAATTATCCCTAATCAAGGTAAAGAAAACGGCACACTTCGGATAGACATGAGGAGTTTACTCATACAGTATTCATTAACCTTACTTACTTCAAGGGACTTAGGAACTGGAAACCTCAGTCGTGTATGCAGTGGTCTCCTTGAAGTGTGAATTAGCCAGTGGCATAAAACAATACTCAAAAGATTGTCACATTTGGCTCAATGACTTGGTTTCCAGGGATACTCTAATGCCAAACTCCAAACCCTCGTCTACGCAGGGCAAACATCATCTAGTAGCACACTAGAAATTCTTCTATTGCTAATACTGCTACTAAGGTTATTAAATTACTGTTAATATAATAATAATAATAATAATAATAAGAAGAAGAAGAAGAAGAAAGTCGCTCAAGGTGGCGAGACGTTTCTCTGATAAACTAATCCGATCGTAGTTTACGTGGTAGTTAGACGGGAGTAGCTGATGATCGGGTCGGAGATGACGTCATCTAGCTGGCTTTTCCAAAGCTTTCGATCGCCTGGATCACCGCATCCTACTTCACTGGCTACAGAGCTAAGGAATCGGCGATAATGTTATTGGTTGGATTGGAAACTTTCTTCCCCAACCTAGGCTTCAGGTGCGTGTTAGGGGAGCATCTTCTAAGCCGATGGAGGTGGAATTTGGTGTCCCACAGGGCTCAGTGCTGGGACCGCGCCTGTTCCTTGTGTTTATCAACGTCCTCGAAAAGATCACCTCGAGTTTCTCACTTTTTGCCGATGATGTCAAGATATGGCGAGTGATTAAAAACAAGGAACATTGTGATCTAACCCAACCTGACCTAGATTGCATTTGTGAATGGTCAGGGAGGAAGCAGCTTCAGTTGAATATAGCTAAGTGAAAGGTGCTCCATCTGTGTCACCAGTCGGTGAACGTTAACAAACTTGGAGACCACACCTCGCAGAAGGTCTCTCAGAAGCGTGACCTGGGTGGGCTGGTACAAGAAGATCACGGACGCGCAACCCAGCAGAGAAGACGTCGAGAACGGGTAAGTAACACATTGGCCTCCTTCGCAGAGCGTTCAGTGGGTTATAACCCTCAATCTTTACCAAAATACTTAACTCTTACCTGTGACCACACGTGGAAGATTCTATCCAGGCGCTGCAGCTGTGGCAGAAACAGGTGCACGCTGCTCTTGAGACTGCGCAAATAAGTGCAATTAATAACCTCAGAGGCCTCTTTCATCTGTCCTATCAGCTTAGACTGGAGTCTCCAAGAAGGTACAGCAGTCGATAGCAGCGTTTACCGGGGGGTCTCATAATGATTTATCAGATTCTGTAGAACCCGAACCACATTGGCAGCCCGCTGCTGAGTTGAACCACAACATTACCCCAAGAGGTCATCCTCTGAAACTGAAAATACAATCTAGACGGCTTAAATGCCGCGGCAATTTCTTTCCCCTCCTCATGTGCCAGCTTTGGAACATTCTCCCAAATTATGTCGTCTGTCCCCAATCTAGCGATATTTAAAAAAACGAGGTGACTATGCGTTGTCTCGTTTGCATTTCATTTTATAATTTGTTAGCCAGTAGGCTATAAAACGCAATCAAACGGTGTCTTTCCAATCTCGTGACTAATGGATTTATGGATTTACACATTTAATATACGAACATCTCCGCTATTCCGCATAAGTTTATCAAAATGATTTCCGTTTAGTATGAAATCTTTTATCGCGAAGATTTCCAACCCATGGGACTTGTAAAATATTGCTTTTTACTCGCAGTACACCATCGTTCAAGATATCGATTGATATTGCCAAGGGTGTTTAAGGCACAATTGTCGTGGCTTTCTTAACAATGTCTTCATAAGTTTTTTTCACTCAGAATTGCCACGAAGCTGACGTCAAAGCCTTCAACCGGACCTCCGATTAGGTTACAACCCGGAATTAATGATGCTATTTGAGTAGTGCATCTGAGAGTTGGGAAGCAATTATGCTTAGTTGGGCGCAAGTTCAAGGGGTACAATAAACGACGTCAACAATTGTGAATAGGAAAGTAGAATACTGGCACTTAACGATGATCTGAATACCGGCTATGTAAATGATGGGAAGGAAAGCATTTGCATAGTAAATGTCTTTTTTGGAAACTCTGAGATATCATGTACGATTGTGCGTACGCATACAATACTCGTGAATTAAGTCAGTGATTTAGGATAACGAACTTCAAGGGAGTTTTTGCTATGGCATGAGTTGGGAAGGTGTATATATTGAGTAAATTACAGGAGTTGGTGATGGGTACATTATTTTCCACCTACAATTGCGTCGGTGTTTTTATATGCACACACTTGGCTTTTGATCTGATTAAGAACGGGGGTTGAACATTAGAAGAGCATGAAGCGATATATAACTTTCGTTTGTCCAACCCCCGATGCGCACATATTTCCACAGGCAAGCAGTTTGTCCTCGAGCTGTATGAAACAGAGAGATGGATTAGTTATGTTGGCATGGAACAATTACTGGACTTATCTCTCCGATCCATCTGTGTGCTTATTCTTTAAATAGCCAAGAGTTGAGTGGTGGATGGAAGGACGAAGCAGGTTGAAATGAACAATGGGACACCCAATCAAATGAGGCGCATGCGTTTCGGTTTGCTGCGATAAGTTCCAATTCTGAGTAATATAGTTGGAAGACAACTTGCGAATGTGCTGCAGTGTGCGTGTTTCCATTAGCACAGTTTCCGTTGTCAAACCTGCGGTAAGAAGACAGAAACTAGGGCAGCCACACAGGGCTACATGATTAAATTGAAAAGCAACGCCCTTATGCACCGGTGAGAGCGGTCAAGCCACGGGTTCGAGTTATATAGACGTGGGAACAGTCTGTTACTAATCCGAGGCGTCCCACAGAGAAACAGATATCACGGATCCTACCAACTTAGGATACATGCGATGACTTGGCCATATAAGAACGCGTGTCATTTTCATGGTAAAATGATTTCTGACCGAAGCCCAGTTTGACATTTTGTACTTCTGAAAATAAATAAACGTATGTACTGATCATTTTAATCAAGTGTTGACGGTATGCTTGTTATTCTAACGACACCCAAATCGGCCGGATTCATTCTAATATATTGGAATTTTATATTCGGCTATTCCTGTTGCATCTTCTCCGTAGACATTGCTGTTCAATTTTGCTTATGAAGGCAAAACAATGTTTAAATAGGCACCATAAAATAAGGAAATGTGACATGATCAGTACATGTCACACACATATCAATGCTGTGCGTTCCATCCTAATAAACGATAATGCACTTACGTCTCAGTGTACAAGGACCTCATTTCTGTTGTGCTTAATAGGTGTTATTATGGAAATACAGTGTTGATTGCAATCCTTCCTTCCGGCAAACAATCGTCCTCGGAATTTTCCATGGCATCATGCAACTCTACTACTACTACTACTACTACTACTACTACTACTACTACTACTACTACTACTACTACTACTACTACTACTACTACTACTACTACTACTACTACTACTACTACTACTACTACTATTACTACTACTACTACTACTACAACTACTACTACTACTACTACTACTACCACTACTACCATTACTACTACTATTACTACTACTACTACTAGTGCTACTAATACTAATACTATATTATTGTGGATTAGGAAGCTTTTGCACTGAGAAATTCAACTAACCGATGACTTTACTGGATAGATACCATGTTACAAGGCTAAAGCCTCCAATGTTTTATTAGGTTAAATATCCATCATTTCCACCCTTTCCTCCAGATGATGTTCACATGTTTTCGCGTGAGCGGCTACTATTTGCAACGGTTATTAATTGATATGTATCGGAATACGGGTGTCCTGTTTGTATTCCAGTGATTATATCAGCAAATGGGTGGCATAGTCCTAACGGAATATGGACGTCTCGCGACAGCAAGCCGTAAAGGTAGGGACAGGGCCTTTAAATCGGCCGTGCCGTTTACACTGGGCATCGGTTTTACAATATCGCTATGGATACTTTACTTTTCTCGAAATATTTCAACCTTGACCTTTGTCAGATGATTTCCAAGGTCACCAGTGCCGTCCTTCGCCTACTGTTTAAGGGAAGCTCAACATACTGAGCACTAAGAGATGGACCGACTCGATCAGAAATCTAGCTTGCAGCGTTGGCTTGTTAACAGAATGCAGGCTCAGATTATGCTATCCGGAAATGTTTTATGGTTGCCCATTTATACTGACCATTTGTTCATATGACAGTTGTATACCGTGTGCTTTTTCCATTCATACAAATTTACAATGCGAATTATGTAATTTCGGCCCTGCCGTAGCCGATATTCGAATGGGTTGAAAATGTACCCAACTGGATAGGTAAAGCTTTATTTTTACTTAGCGACCTGTCGCAGCTGGGTGGTATTCCCTAGCATCATACTGCGAACAAGTCTTCTCAGCCCGTGTTTGCTAGGGTTGATCCCCTTACGTGTACTGCATTAATGAGATTGACGATGTTGGTGTTCGCAATGTTAAAACTGAACAACGGCTTCATTTACCTAATGAACTAGGTTTTCCAGAAATCATGAGAGATTTTGACCTTGACTTAAGCCTGCGCTTGCTCTCACTCATTGTACAGCCGGCCCATCCACCACCAAGCGACCGACGGTTTTTCCGATGCACCTGTGGACGGCTTATTCTTGTTCCCGTGCATGTACACTCCGTCTATTGTCCTCGACCCGAGTGTCATCAGCTGTTAAGACTTCCAGCTGCCAAAGTTGAAGAGCTTACTCGACCCCAGTCCACCCAAATGCAGCCTGCTGCCGAAATCGGAGCCACACATGAGATGGCTATTGAAACATCGACGGGTGAGTGATCCTATACAGCTTTTCGTCTCGGATTGATGGCGATGTCAAGTTAAGTCGTAAAAATAGGTTTTACACAACCACATCTGCGCATTCTCAATATGTACACTATCATTGCGGATACATTGAATGATAGGACAATGTTAGAATATATAAATACAAAATGAATAATTAAATAGACAAAAGTGTGTAGATGTCACTCAAAGAGCCGCATGCGTAAGACACTGGTGAGTTTCTTTGGGTCGACACGAAAGTTTGTCAAGCAAGTTAGGCTTGTGTTTCCATACGAAGAAGCATAAGCGTACAAGGCAGCTAACGGTTTTAAGAGAGCATAAACTAGCGGATGAAAGCAGTCACTTAGGACAGAAGATGGATTCATGGAAACTTTAACTTCTTTATGAATAATTACTTCAACTAGGGAATCACTAGGCAACCTAGTACGTCTGGAACAATGTTTGCTCGATCACACAAGCAAATAAAATCCTTTTTCACTAGTCCAGGGAAGAGTCCTGGGGAACAGTATGATCTCTGGGGTAGTATAGACGCAGTTGCAAATCTCAAAATTAAACCACTTGGCACGGAGAGCTTCTTAACTCAGTAAGTATAAACTGAACATGGAAAATGTTTTAAAAATGTTCGTGGACCAAGTGAGAAGCTGGTATAAACAAACACCGATTTATGTGACAGTGGATGAAATACGCATGGTTTCGTCCTTTAAAGTTATTGAGGGAGAGGCGTATAAAATTGCCCGCAACCTATTAGGGAGGAGAAATGAAAATGTTACCTCACAACATTTCAAGACATTAAAGTTAAGGGACCTGGATGATGACCAGCTCACAAGTTCATTTAGGTCATATTGAGGTGTGGGTGTCTTAGTAGATGTTGCCCTGCACCGCAAGACATCGTCAACCTATTTGGGTCTAAGCAAAGTTGATGGTATGCGGAGAGTTCGGTATATAAAGCGAACAAAATGGTTGAGAGGATCGCGCCCTGCTAAACACCACAGTAGGCGCGATGCATAGAGAAGCTTTTGCTGTTTACCTGTGTAGAGTGAGTACGATCAATGAAATAGCCACGTAACAAGTTGCAAACATCAGGGTAATAATAATAAATGAATCATGTGTCAGCTGTACGCCGTAACGACGCTTAGCTGAGGCGCGACTATTACCAGTCACGCACGGACTGAGTATACCGCGAGGACGCCCACCCCTACGCGGATTAGAACCGGGGACCTATTGCTCATAAACCAGGCGCGCAGCCCACTCGGCCACCGGCTCATATCAAAGTGGACTCCGTCCAGCTAAAATAGACTGAGCAGCACGAATCGGTCGGTATTCCCGAAGGCATTTAATTAATCAACTAAAAGAAGCCGTACAACCTGCACATTTTATCCAACTTAGATGCTATTTTATGCACACGTTAATAGACAGCATCTAGCGTAGAGCGCTTGGGTCCTAGATGCTAAATGATAGAAATAATTAGCATGAGTAACCGTGGCAATCCTCTTGACTAGTATCCTTCAGAGGACTTCTAAGAGCAAAGATACACTAGGGATTCCCTTATTAGAACTGGTGTTATTCTGGCTGATTTCCAGATTTTGAAGATGATACCGGTGTAGCTTAGCTGTATCTGTTGGGGTTTCATACTGATCAAGGTCTAAAAAGGGAGCGTTAATAGATATGTATGGTAGCAATTTTCCAAAAGTATAAAGTGTCACAGATAATTCGGTTGATATGCGAGTCCAAATTTCAACAAACTCCATAAGACAGTCTAAATGGACACTTCCGTATTCCGAAGAGGCTTACATTTTGTGCTGCCAAACACTCCAATCAATTTGTAAAGTCACGTAAGTGTTAACATGCAACGCAGTTTGACAGGAAACTATTAATGAGGTAAAGAGAGTGATATAATAGCTGATAAACACCATTTTCCCATAAGAAACCAACGCCTGGGATAACTTGTTAGAGATTATCCGATGGTAACTTCGACAATAAAACAAATACACGGCAGGTGTCTGCATGGTAATAGAGGATGCGTCTGGCTTAATCGCAATCAGCTAATCATTCATGATGGTCGGCTACCGTCCCCCATGGCTAATTGGCATTAGCTGCGGGATAGTTCGCGAAAGCCACTAGCAGTCATAGATTCGATCCTCGGAAGAGGACCGCAGGATGGCACCACTGACGTGCCCCAATAGGGCGAAACGGCCATCTGGTGTTTCCCCGGATTGATAGTTATCTGAATTGCCGGCTGATTGCGACGAACTCAAAATACTCACCAGAATCCCTTTAATCATAACTAAAACATTTATCGCAAAATCGTTAACTCGCAAACAGTTGCACCGCTAGCACAGAGAGCAATTCACCCAGTTTAAATGATTCCGTGATGCAAACTGCTAAACAAAATGACTAAGCCATTGTAAACAAATAACTTCAGTGCGTAGTATTCTGTTGTATTTCGAGATTTTTACTCTACCACTAACTACGTTGCACACACGTGAAACAGCGGTGTAATATCTCGCGCGGTCATAGAGACTTCTATCGGTTTTGATCGTAAACCAATACACATAGTCATTGTACTATGTGACAACAAATATTTCTCCCGGAAAAACTGTGTCTATTCGTCGATGAACTTCAGCCATACCCGGCGGCGAAACTTATATAGCGAGTCTGCCAGCGTCGGCGGGCCGCTCAGCTAAAAATCCTTGGGCCGTTATATCTTTTTCGACTCACTTAGTCATCGTGAACCATGGTGTGTGTCAGGCGGTCACCGGAAGAGACTGCCAAGACACAGGTGCTTGAGAGGGCACTACAGATGAGGAACTCAAAACTGGATGTCTCAGGCGTCGTCGTCATCAAATTTCCGCCACATTGTCATTACTTCATTATAATACTTTGGGCTTCATTTATATTTCTATTTATCCACCTCCGGATTCAGATGCTTATTGTTAGCAGACATTTATTCATTGTTCAGACGGATAGGTAGTCTTTAATCCATCCTCACACGCTTTAAATAATAAATGAAGTGTCCATAGTTGGTGGCATTTAATTTCATCGCCTTGGTGTTTTATGAATAAAATACTTATACTTTAACCAAGGGTCACAAAACTACTGCCTGCGGGCTGGATCCAACCCGCCCACTGTACCCGATATTGCTTGGTAAAGTGTATGGAACACGGGGCGCGGTAAAGCAATTTGCAGTTGACTCTGCCTGTCCTGCTGCCTGTGTCTGTATATTGTTTGAACACTATCGTAATCCATCTCAAGTTGGATACTTGTGAAACCGTACTACCGCAATATTTGTGATCCCACGTCGTTGAAAAGCCGAGGGGAGTGATCATGTATGAAACCTATTCGTTCTTGTTCCCTCTCGTGTTGCTGCGTACCATACAACTTTGTGCACAATTTTCCGTTGATCACTTCCATAGAAGCGTTTTCTACTAAACCCTGCTAATAACGACACCACTGGATTACGAGTGGTGACTTTGGAGCCAAACGTGTGAAATAATTGGAAAGCATTGTCAGTTATTAGTAGGTAATTGTTCTGGAACCGCGAATATTTGAGATTCGTAAGTTAATGCCATTCCAAATGCCTGTAAGCAGTAGTAGTATCCAGTCTGAGGTTTGTATGTTGGTCTGGACCTAGAGGAAATACATTGCTCAAGACTTACAAACTCATCTCCGCCCATATATATATGGGTCTTTTTAAGCTGCATAAATTCCCTTCCACTTTATTTGGTTCGTTATGCCTATCTGAATAATTTTCTATTAACTGGCCCCCTTGCTTACGCTATTTGCGCTTATGTTCGGTAACTTTGTTGCGCCTGCAGCATTTTTAAGTAACTTGTGGACATTTTTAATTATCCCGGATTCGTTGTTAGCCAACTTGCTTCATATGCTAATTTAGCGAAGAATTATGCCAGCGTATCTGTAGGCATTATTAGATTTATTTTATTTCATATTGTCATTTCAAGTGATTGGCTGTTGCTTTCTATCCACAGTGTGACTGCATTTGATGTGCATGTTAACAAGGTGTCTACCTGTCTATTACCCACTACCTCGTCTATACTGGTTCCAGGAGACAGTTGCTCGTTGCTGGAGGGGACGGGGTGCATGGTCCTTGTGACCGTGCTAGGCTCGAAGAGTGGTTCAATGCACTCAGTGTGGAGTGGACTACGGTCCAGCCACCGTCTCATGCGCTTGCTTCCCCAAATACAACGTGCTTGTGTTTGACTGTAAAGCAGTGTATGGTGGCTCCGTAGAGGTAACGTGGTTCCCATCCACATGCCTCCCGGTCTTATTCCTTAGGGTTTACACTGGATATGGGGTGTGTGGTTGGAGCTGTGGGTGGTACAGCGCAAGCCACCTATGGTCCCTCTGTAGGCGCAGGCATCCTGTGGCTGGCCACAGTGACAGACAAATCCGAAACTGGATGCCGTCAACCATATATATGGGTGGCGGCATCCGTGTCCGGATTTGCTCTCTTCACAAGGCCATCCAAAGGACGCCTGGGCCTACAGTAGGACCATGGATGGCTTGCGCTGCACCCTGTGCAGTTCCAACCACACACACATATCCCGTGTAAACCCGAAGGAATAAGACCGGGAGACACGTGGATGGGAACCACGTTACCTCTACAGAGCCGGCCCACACTCTTATACGGGCAAACAAGAATACGCTATAGTTTGGAAAGCAAGCGCACACAAGGCAGGGGCTGGAACGTAGTCGCTCCACACACTAAGCATGTCCATAGAACCATTCTTTGAGGCCAACCTGGTAACGAGGGCCGTGTATCCCGTCCCCTCCAGCAACGGCCAACTGTCTCTTGGAGATAATGTGGACGAGGTGTAGGGTAAAACGCAGGTGGAAACCTTGTAAAAATGCACATCAACGCAGCCACACCGGGGAAGTCAAACAACAGCCAGGCAGTTTAAATGACGACATCAAATAAACTAACTCGAATAAAGCACACATATATGCGGAATTAACTCTTTACCAGCATCT